ATTCCGGTGTTCCTTTGGTATCTTTGGTTGTCTTCGCGGTAGCGCATTAGTAATGAATACCTGCTTACGTGAAATAACTTTCATATTAAATGCCAGGTGACTCTGGAGAAAAAATGATGCAAGATGCGTGTGAAATCGCGGTTACTCAAATATCATGAGGGATGACCTGCTTCAGTTACTCTCTAGAGAACTAGGAACAAGGGGACTGTGCAGTACGGCGTGAAATCTGGCCCTGGACAAGTTTTGTGGTGTCATCCGCTTTGAGAATAACTCCAATTGTCACATGCACCTCAAAGCTCTTCATAAAAGACGGAATTGCTCTCTGTTCATATGAATAACCATGAGATCATGAAAATTTCAGTCTAGATTTTTGAGGATTATCAGCTAGGAGACGTGTTTTAACCGGATATATGCTGTGTCAAACTGCTGCAGGAAAAGTTAATGACTGAGCTAAACTCAGAAGATAATTTAAGCGACTTTAAGACATTAATACTGAACTCCATGATGCAGGAAGCATTGCATTTATTTTCTATATAACAGTGTTTTGATAGCAATGATTCTGAATAACGTAGCATGTTTGTATATGTTGTCTGGTTGAAGCAAATAATTAAGTGTTTTGTTCTGGAAGTAAACAATAAACTTGTTAATATCATTAGTTGAGATGTGGGTCTCTTTCACGTTTTCTTTATGATCAATATTCATCAGTTCTTAAAATATACTTATGGTTCCGTAATTCGTTTGAATTTTATCAGGCACCGCACCGGGTACTGAATTCAGAAATTCAGTATCTGGAGCCGTTTGGTAAGCCCAGCGTATAGACTTTGACATTCTTCCTTCCTATGGTGATAATCTTTGTCTTTCTCAGATACGTTATTGAAGACTGAATTCCATTAGTGAAGAAGTTGGCGCTAGATCGACTGCAGTTACTGGCATACTATTTTATACCAGCTGTTTTCTCACTCAAAAACATGACATACTAATTAATACGTATCAGTCTATGTTGATTAAGTACTTATGGCAGTACTTTGTCACATGAAAGTATGACTAATAGAAGGTTAGTGAATCTGTGGTCTATAACCGTTTTGAAGCCGTAGCATTTTACCTTAGGTAGGAAATCGAAATAAAGTTTAATATCAGACCCGTCAGTTCTTGTTTTCTCAGATTGCGAAATGGCACTTCGGTATTATCCTTTAGGCGCTACTTTCTCATCTTTATCTCAGCGCTAATTCCCGACGTGTTTATGTTGCTGATTATTTTTTGGCGATATTGGTTTTTTCCAAGATATCTTTTGCCACTTTCTGTCCATTGATCTGACAGCTTTGTAACATGATAAATTATGGCAAAGTGTGTTGGTACGTAGTTTGCGAAACTTTACAGAAGTAACTTTTGTTGGTGTGTATCACTGCTGGTACAAATGTAGTACCTCTTTTGCTTTTATGTATTGGTGTATTTAAACACTGCTGAAGTTTAAATTATATTTGCGTAACTTTTTTGATTTTAAGGTCCTCGTCCAGTTCGCGGCGAGAACGCGCCGCTTATGGGCACTAAGAGCAGCGCCATGGAGTTGAATCCGATGATAACGACGGATCAGGTCTACCAACGCTGCTGCATAAGAATCGAGGGTATGACCTGTGCGTCCTGTGTGACAAACATCGAGCGTCGAATCGGTCAACTGAAAGGTATTCAGCTGGATTAGTCTCAGAGCAGAGGGGTCATCTTTACTACGTCTTTTTTTAGGGGTAGCAAAGATTCTTGTTTCGCTGCTCTGTAGCAAAGCGGACGTAGAATATGACGCTGATGTGACAACTCCAGAGGCAATCATGGACGCCATCAGTGACATGGGTTACGAGGCAAAGCTGCTCGAAGGTGCTGTCAAAACAGAGGGCAAGCTTGAATTGTCGGTTAGGAGTTTTATTCTCAAAAGCCTCGTTGGAGGTCTCACTTCGGAATGTTCTTTTTTGTAGATATTTGGTATGATGGATTCAAAGAGTGCTGCACATCTAGAAAAGCACCTTAAAAAAACCTTTACCGGCTTGGAGTCGGCAGACGTGTCATACACTTCTTCAAGAGGTGTTTTCATCTTTAACCGATCCCTTTGCAACCCTCGAGCGATCGTAGAAGAAATTGAGGTAACGTGATTTAAAGTTGCTTCGTGATTTAACGTTTAACCGATCTAGAAACAAGGCTACAAGTGTTCATGCATATCTGATGAAACGCAGTCTGGTTTGCCGGGTCATACAGCGGAGATCTCCAGGTGAAGTACTGAAGCGGATTTTTAGGATTTGGACAACCTGCTGATGTCATCGCCTCTGAGCTTAAATTAAATTGGCCTATAACATCAGAAGTGCATGGAGTAGTTTTCCCTATCCCTCTTGAAATGACTGCCTTCTTTAAATCTATTTCAAGTAAATCTTGAAACCTAAAGAAATTCACAAATTAATTTTGATATGCTCAATCAGCAGACACAGTCTAAACAGGGAGACCAGCACAAGCGAGGCGATGCCTTAGATTAACCTATTGTTTGCAGATGTCTCATCAGCTTCGTTTTCTCCTATGAAGACAACTAACGTACAGTTGATCGCGTCACTAATATAAACGGTGAGGCTTGGATGAAAATCAGCTTGGCCAAAACCACTGATTATGTTTTCATGAAAAAATACACTCATCTTCATTGCGCTATGTAGTTAAATAGAGCACAGTTAATGCAAGTACAGAAGTTAAAGGATTTCGATTTAGATTTCACTAGCAGATGTAAGCAGGACGTGGAAATTGAAACATTGATTTCCCAAACGAGTATTGTCCTGTGGGGTGCTAAACCGAATGAGTTGATGAAGAAGGAGCTGGGCAGCAATGAAAGGCTGTCTGTCTAAATCTTTTTATGCGCCTCTACTTTACGTATGATCATAAGTAGTGAATTTGTGAGCCTTCTCTTTCCCTAAATCAGAACATCACAATTTTAAACAGTTTGAGAATTTGATCAGAATGCCCGAAAAATCCGCCAGACTGACTGTTGGTAAAGCCACATTGAGGACTGCCCAAAAGTAGTTCGTAGACGAGCTTTATCAGTTAGAACTCATGGAAACATGGCATTGCAGCATCTTAGAACCCAGCCAATGAATCCCCTAGGGATCTTCTTGATCGTCGGTAAACCGCGATATAAAAGTCAATCACCCAACGAAGTTTTCTTCTTAAATTAGCTGAAATTGCTTAAAGGCGGGCACAGGATCGGGTCCGTTTGAAGCACTGTCTGATGAGTCTTTCTTCGCCACCTGAAAGGACTAGCCATCGAAATTGATTAATATAATAAATATTCTTTAGTTAGCACTATTCAATTGTCAAATCAAACGTTTACATTGTGCACTGAATATTGTAGTAATGTTATTTAGCTTACGTCCACAAATGAAAAACTTATTAAAAAATTTCATTAGTGTGATTATTAAAATTATGTAGGTAAAGAGCACACGGGCCAGGAGAGGAATTGTTCATTCTACGATTCAATATCCGGTCCCTTGCAGCAAAAGTGCTGAAAATTTGATTGTACGGTGGATGTAGCCACAAATGACCTGCTTGTGCAGATGATTCGGGGTAATGACCAAAACAGGCACATGTGAGAGTATAGTATCAATGGGTTTGCATCGAATTTTCTCCTTGCCACATACTGTTATATTCCAATCGTTCGCTATGAAGTGCAGACGCGAATGAGGTTTGGCTTTTCGTTGTAGCTCATATAATGTTTGCGAATTGAGAAATGGATAGAGATTTAGAGGTTTGTCGAAGAGAAACTTCGTAAATCCAAGATTTGGTGTAATTTGCTTTAATGGTTAGTCACACACATGCGTGCTGCATCTCCAAGTTCAGAAACCGTTCGTTTTGGGAACAGCGTGATGTAGGCACGTTTAGATACGTTCATTACGTTCATCAAGGTTTAGATTCTGATGACATGGTGTTCTACGGCCTAACAGTTCTGCTTAGATCTCCTGAGATGCCGTTTTATATTCCAACGGAGAGTAACCTTTCTTTTATTCACGAATTCTCTTGAGCAAGGAATGTTTCTTACATTGGTTCAGATCGGAGTTGCCAAGTTGATAAGGCATCTAACCAAAAAGTCTCTGGTTCGATCCCCGTTCAGGATCACTCGCCTTTCTTATACCCGAGGTTGATAAATGACTACCACTCTGTGGGTAGTAGACTACGTACTATGCTTGCCACATGGCTCCACACTTTCCTTTTAAAATATGGCATGCTGATTTGCTGATGGCATAGAAGCGGAAATCAGCACTGTGTAATGAATTTCACGAAAGGAAAAGCGCCAGAATTCCCCATCATGAAAGTGTCAATAATACCAACATCGAAACAATTGCAAACTTTTTTTACTTACGAGATAGTGAACATATGAAATTTTTTTCTCTATAACCTGACCTAATTACGGACTTTTTAGTCGAAAATATCTCTCCTTTTTTATCGACGAGTTGGGTCTGTCCTGAAAGGTACTAAAAACAAATCCTGTTTGTTGGACACATGGGAAATTATATCACTTGTAGGTTAATCACCATATTTTTACTGACCAATTTTTGGTACATCTGTGTGATAATTTATCCTTCTCTAGGCTTCTCTTTCAGGTGGCGGAACTCATTTCTGATTTCACTGATTTTCGGATTGCCTGTTATGGCCGTGATGATATACTTTCATTGGTATCTTCACCGAGTGCAACCTTCTGTGGAATCATGGCATGTGTTTCCTGGCATCTCACTGGATAATTTGCTCTTATTCTTGCTTTGCACCCCGTTGCAGGTGTGTCACTCTATTTTATGATTTCTAACAGGTTAATGTCTTTCAGTTTTAGCTGTATGGCGGACGTTATTACTATCGAAAGTCTTTTAAATCCCTGAAGCACTGCACGGCGTCCATGGACTTGCTCATTACGCTTGCAACTACTGTGGCCTATCTCTATTCGGTGTGTATCATGATCTCAGCGGCAGCACTCGGATGGAGCATCAGCCCGGCGACATTCTTCGATGTTCCCCCAATGTTATTCATGTTCGTTTCATTAGGTCGTTGGCTTGAGAATATAGCAAAGGTACGGAAAAATTTATGGCAAGTTAAAATCTGTTGTCCTGGTTAAACAGAACAACTTTTGTCTTCCTGAATCTGAAGTTTTTTCAACGCACATTCTCATTCGGGATGATAGCAGAAGTTGTTTTCATTTTGTTCAGCCGATATTTGAGCAGACGAAATGAAATATACCTTTACCTGTATCTTGACGTAGACTATTAGTAGAAACTGTTAGCTTTAAGCCAATTTCAGCCCTCGTCGTCCAAAGTTTTTTTCCCCTCATCTTCGACCTAACTTTTTTTAGATTGCTTTTTGCCATCGTACCTTGACTAGCTTGAGTCATATGTCTTTCGAAATGTCGATGATGAGCTAAAGCTAACTTAGATTCCTAGCAGTCCCGTTATATGCAAAGACTTTATATGCTGCATGAAAAACAACGTTCAATTTTGATGTTTATTCCTAGTTCTTTCTTACAATTAGTCTGTAAATCTGGCCTAGACTTTGTTTCTCTGTGTTCAAAAACGGGCATCGGTCACAGTAAATGATCGCATGTTGAGAAGAAATGTCATCTCCCTAGGCACTGTCCTAAGTAAACAGTAAGTAAAACTGTCATAACAATTGAGTAATTTTTTTACTGCACAGTAGCAAACTGAAGGAAGCAAAATTTAACATCGAGTCTTCCCGCAAACATTGTCGTTCAAGAGTTGGTGCTGAAGAATGATTTTCAGCGCAAGACGTCAGACGCTTTAAGCCACTTGATGTCGCTTCAGCCCATGGACGCCGTTCTCGTTTCGCTGGGCGACCACTTTGAAGTAAAATGGGAAAAGACTATCGACGCACAGCTACTGCAGCCTGGTGACACATTAAAGGTGCGTCGTTGGTTCCGGCGTTTCTCCGAAAATCTGCTACTTTTTTAGATCATGCCAGGTTGTCGAATTCCCGTCGACGGTCGTGTGATTCAAGGTGACTCGTACGTCGACGAAAGTTGCATCACCGGTGAATCGTTTCCAGTGTCGAAATCTGCAGGTTTTTCAATAAAATGTTTCTTAATAAATATTTGCATAAAAAAGCTTAACTATGAGGCGGCGTTCATAGCACAGTAAGAACTTTACAGTTTAGTAGTTATATGCTTTGCCTTATATGATGGAAAGAGCTTTTTATTAAAGATAGTCGTTGTGGACTTCGTACAGAATTTGATCCATGTAACATCGACTTGGTCTCCTTCAGACAGATGAAATTCTTGTCGTCGGCTAGCTAAAATGTGACGAATCGTCAGGGTCGGTCTATCAAAGGAAGGTAGAAATTTCCTCTTCCGTATAATGATTTTTTGGAAGGTGGAAAAGTCGATGATGGTTATATAGAATTTAAAGTTATCATTTCTTCAGTGAACCACGTAGTTGGTGTCAGGAGGGAGATAGCCAAACTAGCCTGTTTTACGGAGAAGATAATAGCCCTTAGATGCCTTTAGGCTGCACGGGAACCCGGCAGAGAACGATCACTTGTAGTACCCTGTTGTACCTTGAAAAAATTACGTCTTCTCGTTCATACCGTCAATCAAAGCTACAATCAGAATTGTGAATTTTGGCTGGA